GGGTACTCAGCTACAAAAATCATGTGCTTACCCAAATACCTCCCTTGAAAAAGTGTGGAAATGACTATTTTATATCACCATGTGACAAATTGAAGGGAATATTTTGTTTTTTGGGGGAAAAAATTGCCAAATCATTGCATCGTCATTATTTACAACAATGAAGAAACAGAAATGGTCATAAAAAATATGAACATTTTATTACAATATTAATTACGTACCACCAGATTTTTTGTGGTTACAAATATTAGTCTGTTGGAACACTTCATCATTATCTGTATTGTCAAATGTGTTGGATTGTACACATATTACTAATGCAAAGCTCTTTCCACCATGATGTTTTCTTGTATGATTTGACCTGCAACAATGTGTTTTGACCTGATAGGTCCAGTCAGTTCTTAGTCAATCAGATTGCTGTGTTGTATCAACACAATTTTACAGGAATTCCTGAGGCATTCTGGTTATGCATTATAGAAGTGAATTATCAATGTTGAAGTACCATCTGTTGGAATTGATTTTGGTGAAAAAACAGCATGAATTTTTTTTAAAAATTGGTAATTTTTGAAAGATGAACTGAATATAAAGTATTTACCGTCTTTAACTTTTGTTTTAACAGGTCATTTTCAAAGTTTATTGCATTGTTACCATGGTCTATGCATTCACAACATTTTCACGGCAATCAATATCCACACTGAATTATATAAATTCGGTTATGGTATTCAAAAAAGTAAATCAATGATCAAAGACCAGGTTTTAGACAGTCAAATTTTGGGCATTTTGGAGAAAATGGGCGCTTAGCCGAACTTGACCCTTGAAATAGAAATGTCCCAAAAAGTGGGGTGTGGGCTTGTAGCCAAGCCAAGTTCGGTACTATTGAAAAAAGGGCATTGTTCTACTATATATAGCATCATTAAGATACTTGGTCAATGATTACCAAATATGTCAGTAATATTGACATAGGTATTGTATTCTGATTCCTAGATCTGCATCAAGTGTTGCCATTAGCCTGATTGTTTTGATACCTAAGTTCCTCATATTAAAAAATTTTGAAATTTTTAGCCCTGCTTTCAACAAGTCAACTTTATATTTTTGACTTCTTTTTTAAAAACCACCAGCTGTATGGGCTTCATACTTACAACAATTGCACCTATTGTTGTTCTCTCTCAAATTTGTTCATTTGGTAAAGATGAGTTTCTCTATTAATAGTGAATATTTTGGTCATTTTTCCTATTGCAAACTGCTACCCTGATTGCATTGATATGTGTAGGTTCCTTCAGTAGTCTTATGTAAGATTTGTTATTTTAGTGAATATTTTGGTCATTTTTGAAAAAAAAGTGATTTTTGACATCTTTTTTGATAACTTTCTGTCAAATTGGTTTGTTATTTTTTATATATAGGCACATTAGGTGGACCTCTGTCAAGATAGACTTGATTCATTACTCTGTCAGATAGACTTGATTCATTACTCTGTCAGATTATTTTATTTAATGTTGATAACTTCAAATTTCTAAATTTAGTTTATATTCTTGTTATACTGATTTGATATTTCTTTCTAATTATGCATCTCAAACAGCAAAACTCAATCAGTCGATTGGCTGTTCAAATATTGTCCCCATTGACTTAAGCTTCAAATGGTGGCCATTTTGAATTAAAAATATGTAAAACCTGTTTTTGTGATGCTCTACTTTTGTGTCCAATTCTTGTGGGTTAGCCTTTCTTATGTTAAGTTTGTAAATTAATTTATAACTAGTGTTTATTTCACCTGAATATGACCAAAATATTGTGGATTATATTCTAAATTTGCTTTTATAATTTTTCTTCTTACAGATTGTCAAGAAAGCTTTGCATTATTTACAGAATGAACAAGGAATCAATTTAACCTTAAGTCATTTCATTGGAGGTTATTATAGTGTGCATTTCAAACATATAGAATATCTGATTGACTTCAAGTTCACAAACCACCAACCAGATGCACTATCGTCATCGCTTGTTAAATGTGTACATCTCATTGAAACACTGAAATATCCACAAAATGAAAGAATTATATCGGATGTGAACAGAAATTTGCATGTAAATTTTGTTATTGTTGGGGAGCATAACAGTCTGACCCAGTTTTTGGAGAGCTTTGAGACAATGGAACTGAAGTGGCAAACGTCTATAGTCAACATCCTATTTGTGGATGCATCACCGCAGGCTACATCTTTGGAAGCTACATCATCAGAAAAAAACTTAAATTTAATTATTGCCAAGTTTAAAAACAAACATACCAACTTAAATTTCCAAAGTCTTGAACAAAATGTGAACCAGTTAAATGGTTATTTAGCTGGATTTCAGTACTTAAATGTTGCAAATAGAGATACTTTGTTTTTATTTGGTCATACAAATATACACCACATTGTATGGAGTCACTGTCTTACTAATACAATCAAAGGAAAACAGATTTATTTACCAGTTCCATGGTATGATAAACAAGAAGTGCACCTAGTGGATGAGCAGCACATGCAAAGTATGTTTACATTTTGTGCATATGGTTCTGATGTGAGTAAAGCAAACATATTCACTGATAAATACAGCCAGCAACTTAATGCACATCAAGTCATTGAACAATTTACAAAACAACAAATATTTGTGTTTCAAGCATATGAACCTGTATTTTTTTCAACCCCAATCAGGTAACATTTTAACCCCAATCATGTAACATTTCAACCCCACTTAGGTAACATTTTAACCCCAGTCAGGCAACAGTTGTCTCAATTGAATACCAAGTCAAATAACATCATCATTTGTATAACCAATAAACAGAAGCATTTTATCCCATTAGATGATCAAGACTTGCTGTCAATGTGTAATTATGTCTATTTGAACCAAAAAACATAAAGTACATAAAAAGATGTTGGGTTTATACCAAGTGTTATACTAATGGAACAATGGTGTCTCACTAAATTAAACAACATTAAAAATGTATTTTTTGACAATTTGCAACAAATACAACATTTCCATCTTTATCTTCAAACTAAATTTATGATGTAAATAATGTGGAATTAATGCCAAAATAAAGATTCACAGAAAGTATATGGTCATTTATGGTGTATTGATTTCTATTTTAATTAAGTGACAAATTCCATTTGTGTTTCCTTATAGAGTTTTGAGTTTTTCACAACTTTGCAATATATTGTTCAACTTTCCATCCAACTTCTTTCAGTTTGCAACCAAATCTCAAATATTCTACCCACCTTTTTTGACTTTCCAATTTACTTCTGTCCTTTCTTCTACCTATGCTCAGCTTTCCACACACTTTCTTGACTTTCCCGCTTCTGTCCATTCTGCAACCTATGCTCAGCTTTTCACAAACATTTTTCACTTTCAAGCTTACTTCTGACCATTCTGCAACCTATGCTCAGCTTTTCACAAACATTTTTCACTTTCAAGCTTACTTCTGTCCATTCTGCAACCTATGCTCAGCTTTTCACAAACATTTTCACTTTCAAGCTTACTTCTGTCCATTCTGCAACCTATGCTCAGCTTTTCACAAACTTTCTTGACTTTCCCGCTTCTGTCCATTCTGCAACCTATGCTCAGCTTTTCACAAACTTTCTTGACTTTCCCGCTTCTGTCCATTCTGCAACCTATGCTCAACTTTCCACAAACATTTTTCACTTTCAAGCTTACTTCTGTCCATTCTGCAACCTATGCTCAGCTTTTCACAAACTTTCTTGACTTT